AGCTCAGTGGTTCCACAGCCTGCCTCAAAAGTGGAAGGTCCTGAGTTCAATACCCAGCCCCCCCCACCAAAAAAAACCCCTCTTTACCACATGCTTTATCATGCAAAACTACAATGAAGAATTAAAACAACATGCATAAAATATCAAGCACAGTACTATATATGTTTACTGAATAGAGTCACAATAAATTTTACTTGGTACCCCTTCATCTACATTTCCTTCTTCTACATGATCTTCTAATTATTTGTAATAACAACCAAACTTGCCCTTCAGGTCAAATATCCTCCAGATTCTTCTTTCACCCTCTTAAGAGATACATTTCAAGTGCCTTTTCCAGCCCTATAATCTTTCTCTGGATACACTAGTATTTGTCAATGTAGAACCAAGAAATGGATTTCCAAATATGTAAAATAGAATTCTAGATATGTAAGATTACCCTCTTCCTTACTTTGGACACTTCATGTAGTTAATGACGAAGTTTATAGGGGCAGCTGTAACTAATATTTTATTTCGTACTACATTTAAAAGTTAACCTACAGGGCCAGGGATTTAGCTCAGTGGTGCTGCTGCCTGCCTCGAAAGTGCAAGGTCCTCAGTTCGATCCCTGGTACCAAAAAAAAAAAAGTTAACCTACATACTTTTTCTTACTAAACAATTACATCTCTACTTGGTCTTCTATTTTAAAAGAATATAGCAGAGCCAAAATAGAGTAGGTACATTTATACAACAGAAAAGACTGAAAACAATAACCAATGAAATTACTTAAATAACCTTTGGAAGGTGGTGCTGGGGATGGAACCAAGAATACTGCACAATGCCAGGCAAGTCCTCTACCACTGAGCTATAAACCCTACGTATCAAAAAAAAAAAATTTTAATTATCTTTACCTTTTGGCTCATATAGTAGAAATCACTTGGTTTTATTTACCCATAACTCCTGTTCCCTTGTTCTAAAAGGGGCTGAGGGGGCCCTGCAGATTTGGCACAGTGGCAGAGTTTCCTGGTATGTACAAGGCCATTTGTCTGAGCCCCAGCCCCCTCTCTTACACTCACACACACAAACTTTCCCTTACTCCATATTATTCCACCAGTATTTTAAATCACACAATCATACCTCTCTAATCTGAGATGGCCCAGAATTGGAATAGGGGATCCAAAATGGCTGACCTGTCTGCCTTGGTGGTATAGTGGTGAGCATAGCTGCCTTCCAAAATGGCTGACCAGGGAGATTTTTGGAGAAAAGATACTTTGTTTGCTAATTCTAAGAATCTGAACCTAGCTTTACCACCTCAAGGAGGAAAGCACAACAGAGATAAAATCAAGTCTCTACAATATCATCTAAATCCCTGGATCAACCCATGCCTGAAATGAATACAATTTGGCTTTCCCGGCTGCATGGACCAATAAACTCCCCACTCCCACCTCCTTTCTGTTTTGTTTAAGCACACAGACAGGGTCTTGCTGCATATTTCAGGCTGGCCTTGAACTCACAGGTTTACAGATGTGTGCAACCACACTGGGCTGTTACTGGGACTCTATAACTGCAAGCCCTGAAAGCTGTGTTCAGTTTCCTGGAGGAAAAGGCAATAGATGACATAGGATCACTGATCTTAAAATATGGGCTATCTTCTACTTATTACAACAACATCAAGCACACAGCTCAATTATTTTTTAAGGAATTAAAGGATCATAGGATCATAGAGATCACCGAGTCTCTGAGAAGTTGAGTCAAAAAGCATGTTGGTAGTAGGGCCAAAATACCTGCCTTGATCATCCTACTGGGTCCATTAAAAGATTTTTTTCCTTTTGGTGCTGGGAATTGAACTTGGACCTCACACATACTAAGCACATACTCTACCACAGAGTGATACCTCCAGCCTGTTCTTTTCACTATTTGATAACGTGAACAGTCACTTGCTAAAATCAAACCTAATTCTTTTCAATTCTTTCCGAAAACTAGGCCTACACATTCCTCACTTTTCTGCAGCAGCTCAGCTATGGGACACTACTGCTATAACAAACCTAAAAACTCTAACATTTATCTCTGGGGGCACACATTTTTAAACTTTTGTATTTCCATAACTGCTACGCTCACTATCTTCTCTATGAAAACTAAACTAACCAAAGTTATCTCATCCTATCTCACATTCCATATTCATTCAATAAGCCATCATAATACTCCTATCATTTCTATCATACAAGTATAATTGTATTAGAATTCAAACTGGCATAATCTTTTATTTGGAAATACTAGGAGCTACAATTTTATCTTGGTGTAAAAGTTTTACCATCCTGCAAGTCTGTTAAAAGTTGAGAAACTTGCATTTTGTTTACATTTTAAACAAATCACTCAATTTTTTACCTATTTGCCATTTACTAGCATAATTCAGTAATTGAAAAAACAATCTCAAAAACAAACTGGCACTCCATCTCAATTTACTTAATTGGTTTTGCTAAGTAAAGCCATACTATTTGGAGGTCAAGCTGCTTTCTTAAAATTAATAAAATACACAAGTTTACTATTAATATGATCTTAAAGATCATGCCTGCTGAATTTAAGAACACAGCTTATAGGAACAAAGTAAACTGTAACCTCCATAATCAAGCTTAGTTCAGTGAATTTAAAACTCTAGAAGGTTTTACTCTATAAAAAGTAAGTACCAGAACACAACTATTTGAAAGGTATCTTATTATCTCACATCTCTCATTTCTCTTGATACTTTCAAAATCAAGATCACTCACAATGAACAATTCATTTTTAACTGTTTCCCTTAAACTTGGCTATTATTAAAGCAGTCACAGAAAATTATAAACAGTCTAACAATAAAAATCTCTGAAGTTTTACTTTGCACTTTATAAACTTCCAACCAGAGTTGAAAAGACTGCCCATCACTGTACCTAACCTGTATTTACTCTTTTTTGAGGGGGGTACCAGAGATCGAACTCAGGACCTTGCGGAACCACTGAGCTAAATCACCGGCACCGTATTTACTCTTGAAAGTTTGGTTACAAAGGTATTTTTCTTCTCAGGGTTAAAGAACCACTGAGATTCGGCTAAACTCTCTTTTAGTCAGATAAATTACCATAGTTTTGCATGATGAAGCACTAGATAGTAAACTTCTATCCAAGGAATGCGTACCTTAATTATATAAGTTTATTATGTGCAAGTTTCCATAGTTGGAGTGATTTCAAAATTGAGTTACAAATTACAGGGAGAAGAAAAATGTTTAGAAATAGGAAGATTAGATTTAGATTAATTTCACAGTCCAGGTTCAGTTTTGTTAAATGAAGGCAACTCACCCTTTCCTAAGAAATGTAACTACAGTAAAATTAAAAAATGTATAACTCTTATCTGCACATGTTTAGTTTGTGCCTAGGTAATTTAAAAGCTTCAGTATGTTAATTTCTTAACTACAGCTTCAAGTAAGGAAGACTTGTAGCTCAACTTTCATATTTTACAGACCAAGATAACACAGTAGAGTTAACTGACTTTCTCAAGGTTACATGAATACTATTATGCTATGTGGACCCCTGACCCTCTTTCAAGCCTGTGGTTAAGTGCTATTTCCACTGCTACATACAATTCACTTTGCTATTATTAATTACATATTACTTTCCTAACATCCAAAATATTGTTTCAATAACCACCTTTCCTAAACTGTTTTAAGTATCTTTCCAAGACTCTTTAAAGCCATTTCATGGTGTCATGCAAAAAACTCAACCAAGACTTTTGGCAAAAGAAGTATATTGATCAAATACACCTAAATACTAGTTATAATATTACTATTTCCAACTTTCACAATAGAGTTGGTTTTGAACTGTAACTTCCCAAGAAGAAAAAGCATTTTCTTTATTCACACTTCATATAACTAGCCGCAAAAATCAAAAGGAATAGCTAACTACAAGGAAAACTATTTTAGAGGAAGAAAATCTTTTTAAAATGTGGTCCAACCACACATCACCTTTTCATATTTGAAAACTAACAGTGCAGACTAATAACCAGAATTTTTTACACAAAAATTCAAACGGAATCTTTTTAAAAGGCTTCTAATTTGTCTCGTATAACGGGAAGAAAGAGAAATTTTGGTAAAAGTTTGCTGAATCCCAATTCAAACGTATTGAATGTTTAAAAAAAAAAACACCTAAGTCATTAAGACAGTACACCAAGAAAAGGCGAAAATATTTATGTCGCTTTGTTTCCTGAAAGTCTCTCCATCCAACCAAAGCCGAGTACTTCATGTGGATAATCAAATGTTTTCCACATTCCTTCTGCCTCCAGCTAACACTGCTGATGAAGGACTCCAGGAACGTGTTTAATAGTGATGAGGTCAGTTCCTCCTTTCGCGGGGTGAATCTGAAGTACGCTGCCATCGAAGAACTGAAGTAATTTTAAGATATGTTTTTACTTGGAAGTACGGGTGCACTAACACCTGCTAACACATTTTTGTAACGGAAGAGGTAAAAGCTGTATTGAGCCAGTATCCCGAAACTCAGTCGCTAAGTGTGCTAGCCAGGCCTGCAAAGGTGTTTTTTTAAAACTTGAACCTTGAAGGGACCTCCGGTGTGAGCGCCAGGGCGTTAAGGTGTCACTTAGCCGGGGCGGTCCCCAGGACCCTGGCGACCAGAGCCCTGCGGCGACGGAGCCCGGCGCGAGGATGCTTCGCTCCGGGCCGAGGGGCTGCAGCAGGCGTCGGTCCGCGCCGGCCCCGCGCCCCGGGAATTAAGTAACAAAGAGCCTCGCGCCCGCCGCCCCCCGCCCCCCGGAGCGGAAGCGCCGCCGCCTGCCCGCCGCCCGCGACCCTCCCCACGTTCAGGGCCCGCGGCGGGGCCGGGAAGCGGGAAGCAGGGAGAGCTGCCAGGAGCGGCACCAGGAGCAGCACCAGAGGAGAGCCGGCGCATCCCGGCCGCGTCAGCAGGAAAGAGGAAAGAGCGGGGTGCGCGGGAGGCCCGGCCCGAGCCCCGCCGCCGGCCCTGCTACCCGGAGCCGCCGCGCTTTGTTACCGGCTGTGCGAAGCTCCGGCCGCCGCCACTCTCGCCCCCGCCCCGCGGAGTCGCTTCGCGGCGGTTCTCGCCCTCCTCGGCCGAGTAGTCGATCTCGCCCTCCTCGGTCTTGAGGCGCTTGGCCTGGCTCTCGTACTCCCGGTCCTCCTCATACGTCTCCCTGGGGGAGGAGGAAGAGGAGGACATGGCGGCAGCCCGGAGACCGGCGGGCCAGCGGAGGGGGTGGCGGAGGGGTGCGGGCCTCGGACTCCGCCGGCCAGTGCCCGCCGCGGGCAGCGCCTCTCCGGCCGAGGTCTGCGCGGCCGGGCCGTTCGCGGGGCGCGCGCGCCCGGGAGCCGATGGCTGAGTAGAGCCGGCGGGCTGAGAGCAGCGCCCCGGGAGGAGGGTCCGGAGCGGCCGCTCCCCTTTACCGGCCAGACAACACTGAGCTCTGCTCCCAGCCCGGGGGAGCAAATCTAAGGATGGAGACGCGACCGTGGCTTCCGGTCTTCCCTCCTCCTCTAATCCGCTCCCCACCGCCCGCCTTCGCGGCCACCGCGCAGGATCGAATCCAGCCGCAGCCCTCGGGAAGCGCCCCCTTCCCAGCCGGGGTCCCGCTCCCTATTGGTAGAGCGGGAAAGTCGAGCAGGCTGCCAATTGGCTAGAAGGGCTGTCCGTCAAAATCCGCCCGGGGCCTGGCCTGGGCTCGTTCCCTGTGCCTGGTGAACGCGCCACCAGCCCGCTAGTACCGGTGGCGTAACGGCCGACGCGCGCTGCCCGGGAGCCGTTGTGGCCCCGCGGCCGTTGGCGCTTTTAGGCTTTTACTGAGGCGAGGCGCGGAGGGAGCAGGGACAGGCAGCGAGGCGGATAGCGGATCCTGGCTTGCGGGTGTTAACCGCCCTCCCCCTAATTTGAATGCTTTGCTTCTCTTCTTCAAAAGGAGGGAAACCCTTGAAATCTCTACAGATGTGCCCCGCACAGCCCCAAAACTGCAGGAGATGAGGGGAGGAGAGGGCTTGGCAGCAGGCCTTCCCCGGGTGGAGAGCTGCCGGCTGACGAGAGGTTGGAGAGGAGCTGTGGACCTCACCGAAAGCGGGCGAGGTGCCAGACGAGACGCTGCAGGGCGCGGGCACCTGTCGGTTATCTGCAGCCGGGACCCTTGCTGTCGAGGTGACTTGTCCCAGTCGCTGCCTCACTGGAAGACGCCTTTAAACTTCCACGTAAAACCCACGTCCATCCCAGTTCGCTCATCTGGACGATCTATTTCGCCGTATCACTTGTCCTTTGGCCCACAACTTACTTCCTCTGGACCCCTAAAGACTCCTCAGCCTTTAGTTGCCTCTTTTTCTTTTTGCTACAGGGTCCTTTATGCCTACCTCTTAGGATGATCTGTTTCTGAAACTAGGAGCGACAATGAATGTAATCATTGTGTACTGCAAACATGTACTAATAAAAAATTTTTAATTGCCACTTTATGGCAGAGTAGTATTCCATTGTGTGTAAACATTCCATCTTCTTTATCCATTCATCTGTTGATGGACATATAAGCCGTTTCAGGATGCAACTTGAGACGGTAATGTTAAGTGAAATAAATCAGACACACAAACTTAAATATGACATGGTTTCTCTTGCATGAGAAGCTAAAATAAAGAGCAAAATAAAAGATAATAGGAATCAAATGGGAAAGAGATTGAGAAATGGAGGGAGGGGAAAGGAAGGGAATTATAGTTTTTACCATTTTCCCCTATAAGGACATTCAATTGATTTCCATTGGAAACTGAAACTATAATATACTAGTTTCATATTCTTAAATCTCTATTTAAAAGACCCAAAATTATGTAAAAAGTATCACCATTTTCTGTCGAATACATCATTTCAGCCAGCGATGCAAATTGTGAGGTTTTCATAGCCAAACTCAACTTCCAACGCTGCTGCTGTTCCGTTGAAACTGCAGCACTTGGGGCCGGGGATTTAGCTCAAAGGTTTGGCCGCCTGCTGTGCAAGCGGAAGGACGCGAGTTCAATCCCCGGTACCAAAAAAAAAAAAAAGCCTTAAATTCCCTGTATGTATATTGAATATTATCGCTGGGGATTTAGCTCAGTGGTTTGGGCGCCTGCCTTGCAAGCACAAGGTCCTGAGTTCGATCTCCGGTACGAAAAGTTAAAAAAAAAGAAAATGTAGCACTTTTGTTTCCCCTTAGCTCGTATAAAAATCAAAACCTTCATGCACCATACCGTGGGCCACATTCCCAAAGGATTGGAGCCAAAGAGGTGTGTTATGATTAAGAATCACGTGTTTCATGTGAAATCCAGCTATTCAGAGACAAATGGATTGATCCTGTATGCTATTTCAGATGATACCACTTTCGTTGTTTGGCAGAAATCACCAAGAAAGCACTGTGACTATGTTACCCCTTTTATTTAACCCACTTTTGGTTAGCTATGGTGAAAAGCCACAGTTCCAGGAGGATGCACTCTGCAGGAAGTGCCTCGAGTACTATTAGCTCACAGTGTAGTCAAGTGTAACCACAGTACTGTGCTCTTTCAAAACCTCTCGTGCACATCTGTTTTAGGGCTCAACCTTCCACAACGTCTGCCCTCTTTTTTAAAAAAGTGTCAAGTCTGCAAAAATAAAGTGTTTGCTCATACACCACGTAGTGACAGGTAAAGTTCAATGCTTGTTATAGAAATAATATTTGTTATTTTCATTTTTCTCTCTACTTCGTGAACAGTCATTAGTGTTTTAGATGTATAAAAATAATTTTATTAAAATCTATAAGGTATTAATTTAATAAAGAGTAAGATGGTATATTTCTCCCCACAGTTGGAAATGAATAGAATTTATGAAATTAAATTTGCATATGAAAATACAGCTCAAATTAACAAATTGCTCATACTTAACAAAAACATTGTATGCCATTATTTCGCACAATATTATTTTGTTTCCCCCTAAAGAAAAATAATTCAAAGTTTTAAGATTTTGATCTGTCTTTTTAAATTTGAGCAAAATTAAACTATCTTCTGCATAGAGGAAGTTACTTTGGTAAGCAAGGTACTAATTCGACTCAGCCTTCTTTCTTGGTCTTTTATGCTGAGACTACTACAAAAAGGACAAAGATTCTAAAGATAACACATAACCTAGGTTTTTTAGACCTCAATTTGTTTTACCCTTGCTGTCTTCAGCTTTCCTAGTAGGGCACTGTCTTTGCATTCAGAATATTTTAGGGGACATTTGAATCAAATAGAACAGGTTTCAAACAGAAGTGTATAGTTGTTTCCCTTGTTACTATTTACTTTCCCAAACCACTGCAGCACTTTCCTCATCTTCACCCCTGAAACTAGAAAGCTAATAGGCCACTTTTATATTAAAATAGAAGAAAAGTGCTTTAGCCATTTCTTTGATAACCACAAGTCAGTCAGCTATTATATTTGTCCTTAATCTGTACTGTCCAATATAGTGGTCACTGGTTATATGTAGCTATTTAAATTTAAACCAATGAAAATCAAATAAAATGAATCATGCTAGCCACACTTTAAGTGATCAAAAGTCACACATACAAATAGATGCCATGTTGGACATCACATCAGACAGGGATAGACTAGAATATAGCACAGAGAATGGCTATGTCTCATTCACCTTTTTCTCTTCAGCACCTACAGCATTGCCTGGTACTGCCCACTCCAAATTCTGAGCATTGAGTAGAAATGTAAGCAGCCTTATATAGAGATCTACAGGGTAGGGGGGTGGCCCACGTGCTGGGTGAGCATGCTCACAGAAGCAGGAAGGTAGAATCACAGAACATTTCTGAAACACACACCAGGTGAACATGCTCACAGAAGCACAGGGGTTGAGTTAACAACATTCTGGATTGTACAGCTCAGTTACAGAACATTTTGATACATTGGGCAGGAACACTGCTGAGCACAAACCATTACATTTCTGGAATGGAGCATTTTATGGAAAAAACATAGTGGAGGGCAAAGGCAAAGGCTTGCCTTATTGTGTATTATTGCTTTATCAATCTAAATTAAGCTTCTCTTATTTACAGAGTGTTTTTTATTTGACAACAATGGAATGCACATTTTTCTCAATAGTACAAGGCACTTTTTCCAAAATAGACCATATCTCAGGCTATAAACCATGCTTAAATAAATACAGCAAATTGAAATAATTTATTACATACTTTTGGATCATAGTCCAATGGAACTAGAAATCAACAGCAAAAGAAGCCACAGAGCCAGCCACTGTGGCACACAATGTCTGTAATCCCAGCATGCAGGAGGCTGAGGCAGGAAGATTGCCATAAGTTTGAGGGTAGACTGGGCTGCATAGTGAGTTCAAGGCCAGGATGAAGAGTGAGACCTTGTCTCACAAAATAAAATTGTTTTTAAAAAATTGTAACTCAACCAAAGTAGTAAATATACAAGAGGCATTTTAACAAAGAATTTCTTATTGTGAATATTTTAAAAATGAATCTTCTTTTATAAAGTAAGTTTTCTTTACTTTTAAGCACACTACTATATGAAAGTCAGAATTTAAAAAAATTAAAAAAAAAAAGAAAATCAGAATTTACACTGAAATGAAGAATTAGGCATAATCACAAGATCCTGAGTTCAATCCCTGATGCCAAAAAAAAAAAAAAAAAGAAAAAAGAATTCTTCTAGGAATTTAGCTCAGTGGTTTCGCCACCTGCTGCTCAAGAGCAAGGACCCGAGTTCAATCCCTGGTACCAAAAAATATAAAAGCATATCATTCCCTCCTTTAGGGCCGGGAATTTAGCTCAGTGGTTCCGGTGCCTGCCTCCAAAGCCCAAGGTCCTGAGTTCGATCCCCAGTACCAAAACAAACAAACAAAAAAAGAATTAGGCATAATCACTTAATGTTTGTAGGATGAAGTTACTATTTTCAGTAATTATATGATGCCTCTCTCACACTGCAGTATTGAGGATTGAACCAGTGCCTTGTGCATGCTAGGCAAGTGCCCTACCACTGCCTCGCTCTCTCTATTATTCTAATTATAAATAAATAATCAGCACTGTGCAGCACTTTGCTACTTACAAAGTAGTGTCGTATACACTGCCTTACTTGATTCTCACAGGAACCACAGAGCAGGTCCTTATTGTCTCTGTTTGGCAGATGAAGTTTTAAAAGACATCTTTTCCCTCCAAATTCTTACCTACTTTTCACTATACTAATAAGGACAGGAACTATCTATGTTAATTACATTGCAATTGGAACTCTTAACTTTCTGCCCTATCTGGGCAAAACTACTTCCCCCAAAAATATTTTCTTTAAGAATATAATTTTTTAAGCAACCTATAATTTGTGGGAAGTAAAACTATCGTTTTATACCTCTGGAAAAGCATATCTCAACACTTGCTCATACAACGTTCTCTATCAATAAATATTTGCTAAAATAGCAATGAATATGTGAGTAGTCTGGAAACTCCATACAGCAGGCTATATCATTCAAGTTCAGTTGCAGAAAACAGAATTCAGTTAGTCTAATCTAGAAGTATTAAAGCACTTAAAGAAGAATTGAGAATGCTGATGGAGTAACTC